TTTTCCACATGGGAGGACATAGGCCAGGTCCTCAGATCACCTGACAACATACTTTTTAACAAGTATCACATCACTAGGCCTGGCTTTCCAGCCTGTGGTCAGGTCTGCGGTGCTTCTTCAAGCTCTCCTGGTGTTTCCCTGCCTTCCTCCAAGTGTGGGTGCCAGACACAGAGCTCCAGCAGTGAGCTATTTACTAGCGCTCCCCTTTGAGACACCCACAGCAGGGCGCACCAAGTTCATTTTGGGGTACCTGTTCATGCTGATCCCTAATTCCTCTTCCATGGAAATATCTGCATCACTGGATGAGGCAGATAGTCCTGGGAGGGCTTCAAACGAGCTCCCTTGGTTGCTGGTTAAAAGCCAGTGTTCATATCTCCGCCCTGTATAGGCATGCCTAGAGTCATTGCTTTCCAAGATCTAGCCTGCAGGCTTAACATGCAAGCTTCATTTCCAGATATATATATTCCTGTATTTATCTGTATTCAAATGCACCCTGACCATTTAACCAGGTGATTCAGCATGAAACCATCCTCGTTCCTTTCTGTCTCATCACTCTCAGTGTCATTTTCAAGCTTTACCAGCAAAGATTTCAAATCTTCTTCTACATCATTGATAAAAATGTTTAATAGCAGCGGACAAAGAATGGGTCCCTGGGGGGAGGTAGGTAGAAATAGCGCTACTTACTGATATCTACCCATTAGCAACTACCTCTGAGATCTGCCAGGGAAGCATTTTTAATCCATCTAATATGTGCCCTGTTAATTCCTTATAATGCAAGTTTTAATCAAAATGTCAGGTGGAAGTAAGTCAAATGCCTCGGAGAGATCCGACTGTACTATATCAACACAATTGCCTTTCTCAACCAGACCAGTAATCCTGTCAGAAAAAGACAACAGGTTTGTGTGACAAGCCCTGCCATCCATGCCACCATGCTGGCTGCAGCTCCTGGTTCTGGGGACCTCACATCACCATTTGTTCCTCAACCCAGGGATCCACGTGTGGACTAAAAACCCACCAGAGACCAGCAAAACCCTCTGAGCAATAGCCTCATCCCCTTCTCCTAGTTTATACCCATGTTTCCTCCTCATTCGCAGTGATATTTTGGGGACAGTGGTCCCTGAGGAAGGGGATGAGCTTTCAAGGCTAGACAAGGTCTGTGATGCTCAGCCCCAAGGGTCTGTCCCAGGAGGAGCTTCCAGCGTGGCAATGGTGGAGCCTGTGCGGCCCTGAGATGCGAGGTGGGCTGAGAGCTGTGGGAGGACCAGAGCTCAGGGGCTTCCCCGGCTTGCAGGATCTTTCATCCTCCGTCACCACAAAGCCGGGCCAGATCTGCATTTACAGCAGCCCACAGAAGCTGCCTCTGTTGTCTTATTTTTGTTATTTTTGAGAGGATATTTTAGCGCTGAGCACATTCCCTCCTGTTGCCATGGCAGCCGTGACAGGGGTTATATACCGTGAGAAAAATACCAAAATTAATGAGTGAGTGAAAGTGCAGCTGAGAGAAAAACAAGGTTAAAAAAAGAGTTAAAATAGTAATAAAACCAATCTCGCAATAATTCGGCAGCAAGTCGAAGTCCCACAGGCAAGACAGGCAGCGACCATCCGAGCTGTTCAGCCCCTCCATTGATCCCAGCGTGGGGGTCGGCCGCCCGCATCCCGTGGCCAGCACACCTCCCGTCTGCGCTTGCCAGCGCAGCGCGGTCCGAGGGACGCGCCTCTCCCGCAGCATCCCGCTTACACTCCGGATCAGGCCAAAACCGCTCAGCCCCTTCCACTGCAAACCTGCAGCCCTTCATTACGTGGTAGGCATGCGGAGGAGAAGTTCTTTAATGTGCTCATTTCCTTGCATTTGGGTTTTGAGGATCTTTTTGTTTTTAATTGTAGAAACAAGCAAATTGTCAGAACATCTGTGTTATTAGCATTTGCTGCCCAAATCCGCGCTGCTGCTTCTCCTGTGGAGCCCAGAGCTGATAAGAGAGAAAGAACAGAAGAGCCTTTGAACTCCTTGCAGCAGACGGCAGCCAGGTTGCTGCGTGTGTGTGTTGGGGAGGGGGTATTTATTCTCTTGTAAGGTTCATTTGCTCTCCGTGTTTCCCTTTCTTCTCGCTTTCCCAGAGATTTAGCTGGATGCTCTTCTCTCGCAGGCTTTGTTCTTCTGACAAGGCCCCACCGGCGCCACGAAGCAGCTGTCTGCGTGACGCCAGAGCATCCCAGCATGGGGTACCCGCTGTGCGGGGCGAGCCAGCACCTCCAGCAGCATCTCCAGGGTCGGTGGCACTGCCAGCACCGGGGCAGGTGGGTGGGAAGGATCTGGAGGGTCTCACAAAACAACTCTGCAGCCAAAGCTGCAGTTTGATGGTTTCCCATTGCTTAGACTGGCCCAGCTTTCTGGGAAATGGCGAAGACAAGGTAAGGACCAGTGACGTGTACTATAATGCCCAAGCAAAGGGAGGACAGGGAATGGCAACGCCAGCATCAGGTTTTCCTTGCTGTCAGAGGGCAAGGAGCACTCTGGGAGGAGCTCGTCTGCTTTCAAAGGCAGTGGGCAGAGGAGGAAGGTAGAGACAGACAAATCACCCCTGGGATGCCAGGCCTTGGGTGGCCTGGACGCAGCGTCCTGCCAGCTCCCCTGGCCGTCACGTGCTGCTGGCACTGCAGAGGGTTTTGCCAGGCAGCTCCTCTGGGCTGCAGAGAGGTGACTCCTGAGGCTGGGACATTTCTTTTTCCCCTATGCTCTTAGAGCCTGGACCTGCCTCTCAGAAATGTGCCTGAGCAGAGGCTGCAGATGGCAGGCACCAGTCCCTCACAAATAGGAGGCAACTAGTAAACTGTGTGCATGCACAGCTTCCCTGGCTGCTCTCTGCACAGTTTGCCTATCGACTACCTGTGCCTCTTGCGAAATGGAAACCTTTGGTCACTAGCGATCTCTTAAGTTTGCCTTCACTGCTCCACAGACAGCCTTGGATCCACAGGGTCACTTCCTCAGTTATTCCCTTTGCTACAGCTCTCCAGCCCTCCCAGGAGGGCTGCCAGTGACTGATAAATTAAATCTCATGCTGTCTCCAGAGAGTTTAATTCCCTCTGTCTGTCCAGATCCCCGCTCACGCTGTGTCAGCAGGGTAAACCCTGACAAACCCCACAGCTCCTTTCCCTGCCCTTCCACGGTGGGCTTTGACCTTCCCTGGCTTTTCACTTCACATCTTCCGCTAAATTGGCTTCATGACAATTGACACCCAGAAGAAAAAAACAACACACAGACGCAAAGAAGCCGACATCCCTGTAGGAGCAGAGATGGCCCTGCTACAGGAAAGTCTCGGAGGAGAGCAGGGTTTTCCACCCAGAGGGGATGACTCTCCAGCTCCTTTCTCCTGCCCAGCAGGAAAAAGCCCTGCCAGGGGCTGAGCTTCCATCTTGCGGGGGGGGGGGGGGGGGGGGGGGGGGTGTGTGGCGTGAGGGGGGCGGTGCGC